AAAAAAAAGGGCAAGCCGTTCTTAATTGCCCCGTGATTCTACGTGCATGATAATCGATGTTTGACTCGGCGGGATACTTTTGATTTATACGAACTTGAATAGGCAAACTGGTCCCGTTCCCTTCTAGATGAGTTAGGAATCGGTCAAGGCGGTCTATGTAAATTAAATGATGATAATTTTTAAGGGAAAAACATTGATTGTTGTGAAAAATGTTTTTGTACGTGGGTTTGTATTTTTATTTTAATTGTTACAGCAGTTGTAATATATCCACTGTATCCAATGTATACATGTATACAAACTAGGTCACTTATGAGAGAGCGATGAGTAGTGTGCTATCATTACTACACATTGCAAAATGATAAAGTGTTCTTCAGTTTATTTATATATCTTTATTTTTATGGCTTTTCATTTTCGTAAAATTGAAGTTCCCTCCAACCACCGCAACCATTCTTTTTGTTTTTATGGCTTTTGATTTTCGTAAATTTGAAGTTCCCTCCGACCACCTCAACCGTCAAAATCTGTTTATTTTAGGAAAGCAATCTACAAACGGTTTTCCCTTGTAAGAAATTGACATTGTTGGTAGGGATCGTGTAAACTGTAACCCCCCCCCCCAAAAAAAAATCAATTGGATATGTCTTTGATATGTACAGAGTCAGCAATGAGGGCAATTCTAGTATACCGTTCTCCTGTACACTGCTGAACACTAGGTGTACAAGAGAAGACTACAACACAATTAATTTTTTTTTGTAATTTAACGATCTTTTTGCAATGATTTTAAATCATATAAAGATTTTCGTAAAATTACGGTTTTCTGTTATATTACGGATTTTCGTTACGGTTTTCTATAATGTTACGGATTTTCGTAATATTACAGTTTTCTGTAATGGAACGATTATTAGTATAATAAACATGATAAGATTTCCTAATTCATTTTATTCCGAGGGTTGACAGTTTTCCTAAAATTAGTATAACATGTTCATACTCATTTAAAAGTCGTCTACATTTTTTTTAATGCAAATGCATGTTTTAGAACAAGACACTTAATTGCTTTGACATTTTAAAGTGACATTGGTCGAGTTGGGGTTGTTGAAAATGATATAAAGTAATAAGACTTGATTAAAATTAGTTATCATGAATTAATATCAATATTTTCTAAACATCTGATAAATCGACCATTTAAAAAAAATCACGACGCAACTTTGTAACTATTAATAGCTGCTTTCAAAAACACTAAATTAAGTCACTGGTTAATGGACATTTGACATGCATGTATGTGTTGTTTGTATAATTAATCGGGTTTTCATAAGAATAATTGCAACAAAATCATGCTATTCATGTTTTCTCAAAGTATATTTCTATGGAAAGCCGTAGGGTACCCCCACATTATTATTATTTTTTCCTATATAATTATACCAAAAATAATTATCTCATCCAAAAATAAAAAATCTTGCTTTTTTGACAACATTATTATTTTTCCTGCAACAATTATAATCTTGTCTGTCAAACGTGTACAAATTATTTTTATTTTAGGGTACCCCCACATTATTATTATTTTTTCCTATATACCAAAAATAATTATCTCATACAAAAATAAAAATCTTGGTTTTTCTTTACAACATTATTATTTTCCTGCAACAATTATAATCTTGTCTGCGAAACGTGTACACATTATTTTTATTTTGCCCTAAAATTATAATTATTCACACTTCACAATTATAATCTTGCCAGTCAATGTGGGCACATTATCATTTTTCGCCTCCAAATTATAATCTTGTCAGTCGATGTCTATATACACATTATTTTTATTTCGCCTCAAAATTATAATAATTATTCTGACTTTACAATTATAATCCTGTCCCTCCATCCATGTGATGTGTGTACACATTATTTTTATTTCGCCCCAAAATTATTACACAATTATAATTCTCGTATTTTTATTCCCCACACATTATAATTTTCATCGCATCATACAATAAAAATCGGTAACGTTACACAATTATAATCTCCTACTCCAACAATAATAATAATGTTGACCAGAAATTTAAGATGCAACATTATTATTTAGACGCTTGACAAAATCAAACGTTTGTATGATTCGGATGCACAGTACGATTATAATTTTACTTGACAGCGAAACTCGCAAGATTATAATTATTGCTAGCGCTCTCGAGCGCTAGCAACTACGTTAGTCTATATTTCTGAAATACGCATGCTCGACTTCACGGTCGGGGATTCTGGTAAAATTACTGTAGACAGACTGTACGATAACAATTTCGTTTTGTCATACAAAAATAGAAATGATCCGAATTTACACTGGCCTTTCCTGTCTGATATGCGCGATATACATTTCGTAGATTAGAGACAGTCAATACCAGTCTAGATCCTGATTCTGAATTTTTTTTTTTAATATATTGTCTAACCTACACATAAAAGTACAAGAAAAAATTTGGCCATATAATGCCAAGATTCTAGACAACTAGCTTCCCTTACAGTTTTACCACCTTAGCGGATAATTCCGGCAAGCTCGGAAAAAACAACAACAACAACAACAAAAATCTTTTTCAGAGTATGTGGAAAGACATGGCAATTTAGTGTTTATCATCTGAAAATACATATGATCTGAAGTTTCGTGTTTTGTTGTCTAACCTGCACGTAAATGAACAAAAGTAACAGTAACCCGGGTCTTATAAAACCAAGACTGTTATTTCTAAAGTTGTAATGAATACATAGCTTTTCTAATCTACCTTCATTGATCTTTCCGGCAAGCTCGGAAAACCGCGGCAACCTCGGATATGTTTTCCGAGCTGGCCGGAAAGGCCCGAAGGTGCTCATTGGTTCTACTGACCTTTTATTTTTCACCTCGAAATTGAAATTACAGTGAAGCACACTCTTAGATTCACCATTCTGAATTGTGACCCCCCCCCCCCCCCCCCACACACACACACAAACTCAATCCCCAGTGCACCAATCTGCCTTCCTATCAATAATTAATCGATTCAGCAAATTAAACAAATGGTTCGGATATCTTCTTCTGTATTTTATTATGCTACAGCGCTAGCTCACCAATCTTTTTAAAAGATAAGCTTGTTGCAGAGCTACATCATTATTTGGACGCTTGACTGGATCAAACGTCCTCTGGAAGCAGATCACCACGTGATGGTAATGCTATATATAAGCATTAGCACCTCGAAGTACTTAAACGTTATAAACGGCCGAAAGTCTGAAAGACTGTGACTGAGAGACACGATAGATTTATGGAAAGAGGTAAGGCTACAAGCCTTCATTAACATGCATATTATGAAAGGCCCAGATATCTAGGTGCATGTGAGAAACAAAGTTCAAACAGAATTTTACTGAGAATGATCAATGTGAGATAAAAGGTTTATGAAAAGAGGTAATATGCTACAAGCCTACGTGTACATTAACATGTAAATTATTAAGTGTGTGTACAGGCGCGGATCCAGGAATTGAAGTTAGAGGGGGGGGGCAAGAAGTAGGCAGGGGGTCTTGGGGCTGCCTTGAGGACCCAAGTGGGTCATGGTGAAGCCCTGTTGGGGGCCCAGGAGGTGAAGCCCCCGAAAGCTCCTGGTTTCTAGAGATTTTGTTGGGTAAAAATGAGTGTGTTTACATTTTCTTGACGAAAATATGATTTACACTAGCTTTGACAATTTTTTTTGTTGGGGGGGGGGGGGGTGCGTCGAGTGCACCCCTTAAATCCGCCACTGGGAATATGGTAAAAAGAGGTTCATGTAGTAGTTTGATTTGTAGCTAATACTTATAGTAACTCAGCTTTCCTAATTTGCGGAGAGAGGAGAAAGAAAATCGCTCACTTTTATCATCGTGACGGGCCTGATTTCCTGATCCAAATCCAGCTCATATTTCCAATTTTTATCATTCAAACTATGGCTGAATAAGGTAAGGACTATATAATATGATAAGAGTCAGTTTTGGCCCCCATAAATCAACATTTTTAAAAGTAATTAAGATATGTTAAATTGTTGTTTTATTTTGTTAAAGAGTTTATGTTAGAGATACATATATTTTTAATACATTTGTCTCATTTATATGCATTCAGTTGCCGTAAATGACGTCATAATTGATGCTATTTTTTGCAATTTATTCAAACATGGACCAAATTGTGCATTTTCCTATATGTTTTTCCTACAGGAAACATGGGGCGCAGCTTAGAACAAGCAAAATTTTTCTGTCATTAAATCAGTCATGAATAGATACGTCTTTGATGTAAATATAAAGTTTGTTCAAGTCTGTGCTCAATATTTTTTGGAATGTAAATTGTCTGAAAATAAGGAATTTTATTCAAGAAATGTTAAAATGGCGGGAAAAGGTATACTTCATGATGTTATAGTTCTAAATGAATGGTGTTTTGATCAAAGTTTGAATCACGGTTAAACTTCAGGAATATAGCTGTGCACAGTAAACCTATATATAAAGTAAAATTAAGACATTAGTTTTAAGGGGCCATTTTAGACACTTATCTTATATAGTTCTTTCAATTTAATCTGTCTCATGAAAGGAAGAAAGAAGATAAGCTTGAACTTGAATCCCCCAACATAAAACAGTGTGCTGATGATGGTTTGGAGAATACTATTTTGTGTTTTGTTGTTTGTTATAATTAAGCAAACAGTATGTATCTGTTGATTATCTTAAGGGTATTTCTGTGCTTTTCAGATATAGAAGAAAAGATCAAAGATTATTTTTTCAAAGGTTATAGTTACAGACTTATACATTATTTGATCCAAAGAAGATTTAACTGTAATATAAGGTAAATAGATTTTTTTTTTATGAACTCAAGAAACTTAAGGATTTTCTAATTTTTTAGACTTTCTGGGGGTCATGTACATCTTACACTGATCAAGTTATACTGAGATCTGTTTTCCCTCTCATTATCTACAAAGAATTTAATGCAGGACGAATTTTGATTAAAATCTTGTTTATTTATAGCTTGATAAAACTTCAATAAATCATAATTTGTACAGTTACATATTAAATACTTTCATGGTTAACAAATATTTCTAATGATTCAAATTGGGCACACTTTCTATAGCAAAACAACCACCTTTACAATGTATAAATATTTGTGCATATAATTTTGCAGTTACAATCAGCTAAAGAGGAAGATAATTCCTGAATTGGGTTTGCGACGGAGGGGTGCAAATATTGATTTAGAAGAACTTTTTAAAACTGCACAGGTAATTCAGGATAAAAGCTTACATTCATATTCATATATATATATATATATATATATATATATATATATATATATATATATATATATATATATATATATATATATATATATATATCCTTCCATTTTTTTTAAAAAATAGCTGAGTTTATTAAAGTAAATGAAATTAAATATTTGCTGTTGCTGACAAAGCAATTATGATTTAAATTTAGATAGAAGTTCAGAATAATGGATGTACAGGATCTGAAAACTTAAGGAGGACTTTGAAAATGAAATTTCATATGAATATTACAAGGTATACATTTGATATTCTAACCTTTAGAATCACAAAACTTAGCAGTGTATATGCCTGATTAGTGATAGACTGAAAATTCATGTGAACATATATTTTTTATTTGACAAATAGAAATAACATGGTTTATATGAGTTACCTTTGTTAACAGGGGATGCTTACTCCTCTAAGGCATCCAATCCCACCTCTGGAATTTTCAGGGGTCTATGTTTTATGCCCTCTTCACATAATTGTATTATATACAGAATTTCTGGAATCAATCACTGTTCGTTATCTTCACCTTATACATTCATTACACAAATAGGTGTATTTCAAGAGACTTGGTAAGGCTTTTAGATGACGATGGTGTCAAAAGAAGAAAACACAGAAGGCTGAGAAGGAGGCAATACTTCAGTAAGGTATGATGAAATAAATGTCAAGAAAATGTTCATACCCCCATCAAACAAAGTTTCAGTGGTGTGTATATTTAAATAATACTATCTACCTATCCACCTTTCCGTGATAATTGTCCAGACATGTTCTGCACAGATTTGCCTGAAAATGCATACACTGCTTATTCAGCCAATAAAGATGTGCATCTAGTAAATTTGAAAGGTGGGGACACAATATGAAATCAAAGTTTAACAATAACATTTATATGTAAAAATATTTACATTTCCAATGTCTTTGTCCGAGATAAAATTACAAACTGTAAAAATACTTTATTTCTGCATAAATCTACTGGTTCATCGAGAGGCGCGGTTAAAAAAAGTCACGTGCGGGGCGGGACAAATAGAGACAGAAGCGGGACTATTAGCACGGGAATTTGCAGAATCAGGAGCATGTAAATATAAGGAATAACTGTCAGATTTTTTGGATTCATGACGATGATCAATCGATTGGCTTGCGTGATAATTTTATGCATAAATGCCTTCGGCGTTTATGCAAATTATCACGCAAGCCACTCGATTGATCACATCATGAATCCAAAAAATTAGACAGTTATTCCTTAAATAAATCTTCTCAAGAATCACTGGGCCAGAAAATCTTAAAGTTATGTCTTAAGGTACTAGTGTTGAGAGTTTATTTTTCAGAGCATTGTACCAGTGGGTATGGAGGGGCCAAAAATAGATTTATACTTAGGGAGAAATGTTTGAAAGCCCTCTTCAGAAGAACAGCAAAGCTATGATGAATCATTTTAATGTAGATTTTTATAGTTAGGATGGGGCTACAAATGTCAATCAGAATTTTACTTAGGAATACATGTATATTGGAAAAAATATGATGCAGAACAGTAGGACCAAAAAAATGACTGGTGAGCATTGTGTCCCATGGGCCTCTCGTTATATTTACATTCAAGGATAGTAATCAAGTTCACCAAAATGCATATATCTTGGTTTATTTCATACTTAATGAGAAATACAGCTTCTTTGTGCATGCGATATGCCTGACGTCACAATAGTCGTATCAGCCCTACAGGTCTGATACAGATTTATTTCACACCCTTAGTTGATTAAACCTTAAAAAACAGTACTTCTGATAATACACCTATGTTTTTGTTCACATTCTCTTCATTATAAAATTGCTCATTTTTGATATAATAAGCTGCAAGTCCGCAATCAGTGCCTAATTATTTATTTGAATTTTTCTCTAGTTGATGTGTGCTGTATTTTATTACTTAGTATATAATAAATATAATAAAACATACTTGTTTCCACATCACTTCCTGTATCAACCCTCCACCCTTATCAGCCCTCAGTCCTCTGGACCTCTGGCTGATACTGGTGTCTCGACTGGCTGATTCAGGATGTGATATGGAAAACTGTATGTATTATTCTCTATATTAGTTTCTAGAAATGAAGTATGAGTTTACAAAATTGGAGCTGAAGTTTCTCAATAATACCTACGAGCAGAAAATTTAAGAGGGGGGGGGGGGGTAAGGGAGGGTTCTGAGATCGCAAAAATTGAAAATCACTACCATTTCATTCCATATCATTTGTTATAGCTGTATCGCTTGACATTATAAAGTCGTTGAAATTAGTTCTCGCTAACAACATATACCAATTTTTTGGGATAAATTGCTAAATTTGCATCCTGTTATAATTTATAAAACACAATATCTCTATTTGTCAAAACCCCATATATAGCAACTATAAACAAAGATGACTTTTATCAAACATATCAATTTGATAATCAAGATCGAGATTTTTAAAAATTTGTGGATTTTTAAATTACCACTATGATATGCATAACTGGTTGCTATTAGCACATCACATTTTCTCGTTATGTAAACATTATTAAGGGAACCTGTTCTTGGGAAAAATACTCATAGATATATAAATTCCTTTACAAATTTTTAATTATAATATGTGGCATTGATTATACTTATTGATTTAAACTATGTAGAATTGATGAGTTGGATAACAAGTAGAGGTATAAGTCTGTAAATATGGCACTGTGGATGTTCACATCCACTTTTTCACTAGACGTGACAAAGTATTGTAAGGTATCATGCCTTGCCCACTGTGTGCAAGTCACTGTTAATATTAATTGATAAACTTGCAGAAGAAAAAACATATATTATTTATTTACGTTTCCAGGGTCCTAATTTTGTTTGGCATTTGGGTAAGTCTGATTTTGAAAAATTATAGGTGAAGGATGAGATTTTTTATCTTATATTTGAACATAATTTGTGCTTCTATGCTGAAAAGGGTTTGAATATGAAGATGAGCTTGTTTGGATTATTAGCTCACCTGAGCCAAAGGCTCAAGTGGGTTTTTCTGATCACTTTTGGTCTGGCATATGCCTGTCTGTCTGTCTGTAAACTTTTCACATTTTTGACTTTTTTTCAAAAACGACAAGGCTAATTTTAACCAAACTTGCCCCAAAGTGTCCTTATGTAAAGGGGATTCAAATTTATTCAAATTAAGGGTTATGCCTTCTTCCAAGAGAAGATAATAATGAATTAGTGAAAAATAATTGGCATCTTTTAAAATCTTCTTCACAAGAACTGCTGGTCTAGAAAATACAAAAGGTATGTGGAATCATCCTCAGGTAGTTGTAAATTCAACTTTGTTCAAATCATGATCACTGGGGTAGGATGGGGCCACAATGGGTTATCAAAATTTTACATAGGAATACGTAGGAAAATTCTTTAAAAAGTCTTCTTCTCAAGAACCAAATGGCCAGAAAAGCTGAAACTTACATGGAAGCATCCAGAAATAGTGTAGATTCAAAATTCTTCATATCATGACCCCTGATGTTGGATGGGGCCACGGTAAGTATGACAAGGGAGAAATCATGTGAAGAACAGCAGGGCCAAAGTTACTCCAGTGAGCATTGTGGCCCAGGAGGTTCTTGTTTTTTTTGTAAGCATAGTAAGAGTGATTTTTTTTATTTAATTTTCACTTTATAATGGTGTTCAGAGGTTATTACATATTTCATGTATTTGTGAAATGAAGAAATAATCCTTAACTTTTATCCTTTCAAATTATGATAGAGAATTTCATTTCCAAACAGAGGCATAGAAATTAGATAATAATACATTATGTAAATAAGGAAAAGTAAAATCCTGCAAAACACATCATGATACAGTCCTAATGTGTGGTGACCTATCATGATACACTGTAGAGTATTGCTACACCCCTGCTGATAGATCATTAAAAGATTGATTTTTATTGCAATTTCAATCATTGTATTAATTAAATTGAATAAAGTAAAAATAAATATCTTCCTTAAGACCACACTTTTAATTAGCATGTTATCAGTATTAAAACATATTACACTTATTTTCAAAAATTTTAACATTACATTAAATTGGACATAACTTTTGAATGAAAAAAAAATAGGGCTTTCATATTACATATGTACATTACCTGTGGCAGGACCTTTCCTAATATAATATTAGATTGAGAATAGATAGGGCTTTCATACTTGACATGTGCATTACCTGTGACAAGGTGTTTCCAAACATGCTATGATTTTCAACCCCTTAAAGATATACGCAACGTACTTTACCTACTGATAATTTTTCAAGATGTTCTTAATTTAAGATTATAGTGCCATCAGATTTTCGTATACAAAAAAATCATCATGCATTACAAGGGCTCTTGAAAAGATATCAATTGATGAAAAATCTTGTATAATTCAAAGAAAAATACACTAAAATTACTAAACATATATTCTAGATTTTTTTTATCGACACTTGTTTCAGAAGAAGTGTACAACAGCATATATAGACATAAAGATGTAGCACACAGTTCCTTTAAGTATTGGAACTCTTCAACTCCGGGGAAAAGACAATAAAGTTCAAACTACGTTGCGTATGTCCTTAACAATGACCTTCATGTTTGATCTTATTTTCAAAAATATAAACTTTGGTGATTACTTTTAAATGACATATGATAGGTCATTCATATTTGACAAGTGCATTTACCTGTGTCGAAATGTTTCTGAATGTTCTGTGATATTTGACCCATGACCTTGACCTTCAAGTTTGAGCTAATTTTCAAACATTTCCTCAGTGTTGGTAACTTTTAAAGTAGCCAATATAGGGCATTCATATTTGACATGTGCCTTACCTGTGACAAGCATTTCCAAATAAAGTATGATTTTAACTCCATGACCTTGAAGTTTGACCAACTTTTCAAAAAATTAACATTGCTGATAACTTTTGATTGAGAGAAGATATGGCATTTACATTTGACATGTGTATTACTTGTTTCAAGACCTTTCTCATTGTATACTCTGGTTTTTGAATTTTTCTTTCACATGTGCATTACTTGTGACAAGACCTTTCAGATTGTATTATGATATTTGACCTCATGACCGTGATCTTGAAGTTTGATGTAGTTTTGAGAAGCAATAATCTTTGCAATAACTGTCATTAATTCAATAATTTATGTCTTTTTTGTAAAATGCACTGACAAGACAGGACACACAAATAAAATAGTTACAATATGCCATAAATAGTGGCATCCCATCCACCGAAAGAGGGGGACCACATTTCTTTGAATTTGATTATTGTAATAAGTGACAAGTAGCAAATACCCACATTGTTTACCCAAGTCTGTGTGAACTGAATTTTAGTACTAGGCAAGTGACAAAAGCATATCTGTATATATTGAATATGTTACACAATAGGCAAGTGTCCATCGTATTTGTATATTTTGCATTCATTTTGATCCCTGTACAACATGGGAAAACCAAGTACGATCACAAGGAGATCACTCAGATATAGCACATTACAATAAGCAAGGGTATTTTTACCAGATTTTTGAAAATCTTTGGGAACATTGCTTCATCTCTCAGTTAATTTTGTTTTATATTTATATACATTCTTTACAGCAGGGCTAGACAAATAGCATTGCCCGACGCCCGGGACAACCAATTTTGTTTAGTGGGCAAGTTATTTGATAAGTGGTGCCTGCCCGCGGACAAGTGCTTTTTCCCATTTACAAAAAATCATATACTCAATATGTCTTTTGTGTTACCGCTTTTAAAATATCATGAATCACAACAAAGCATCTGTTTTCGCTGCTGTTGACCACTATTGAATACTCGGTCGGAACTTCTCTAGAATTTACCCATGAATGTGTTGTTAAAATAAACGCAAGTCGTAAAACATGACATCTTCCGATGTCGTCAAAAAAGTTGAATTGGATTTTAGACTTTTTTTATTGACAAAATATTAAATTCATTCTGTGAATACAGACGTGCTACTGTTACTAAAATTGGTTGTTGATTGGCAATCACATAGTCATGAAGTCGATAGCTCAATCGGCATGCAGTAGTGTTCACAGATTTGTCTCATTTGTAGGTTTTTTGAGATCATCTTCACCTTTTTCATTAAATTTATTCAAAGAAAGTATATGGAGTATCTTATTGAAGAATTTTGAGGAGAATAGAATGAAACTTTGACTTTACCAATGCCCTGAAAATATCGAAAGAAATCTGGGAGAATTTAGTGATTTTAGATCTAGGTTTGATTCCCGTGTAGTGTCTCAGTTGAGAAATAATTTAATGTTAATGATTTTGTTTAAATTAAGAAACAGGTCGGACAAACATATTTTTTGGTAGGACAAGTAATTTTATGATGATAACCTGTCCGAGGGCAAGTAATGCAAAATTCTATTTGTCTACCCCTGTACAGTGTTGTATTATACTCAGGTGCCCTTGGGCCCCTTGTTATTTTGCAAGAATTAATTATGGCATAATATTGTGAGATCGTCTTGTTGCAAAAATTTTCTTCTCAAATATTAAATACTGTAGCAGTCAGAAATAATGAAATTTTCTGTCATCTTTAAATTAAAAAAAAAACATATCGCAAACATAAGGTGTGACGAATATTTGGTGGTATATTACATAAGGAAGTGTTCATGCATATGTAAATCCAATGTTAATATGCATTACAGATGGATATGACAAGCTCAAGCCCTATGGAATTAGTATCCATGGCTGTATCGATGGGTAAGATTTCAATCTTATGGATAAAATGTGAATAATTTAGGAAGTGCCTAAATATAAATTTTTTTAAACTTTAAAGTGAGGAGATAATCTGTATATCAATTATCCCTTAAGGATAGATATAACACAGTTTTTTTCAGAAAGCAGCAATATTTCTCATAGATTAATATTCAAAAACATGTATGTCACCTGAATGATATTTGCCAGGTAAAAGTGGGAGAATTTTGTAAGATTTTGTCACAGTGTCGAAAATATGTGCAAAATTTTGTATAGAATTACATAGTAAACGATACAAAGTCGCACATCTAAGCACCAAAGTAAACTTACGATTTCTTTATATTTCAAGGATTGATTATTATATCGGAACCAAAAAATATATATCCATCCATGTATCAAATTTTTGTTTTTGTTATGTATCCTCAAGCTTGCTAAAAATTGATATTAATTAGGCTTTCCAAGATTGAGTTAGATTAACCCTGAAGTTTATCACCACCTGCTTGCGTACATGCATGTAAATTTAAGATAAATTTTGAAAAATAAAAACATATTTTTTGTGATGAAGAAATCTTATTCTGGTTGTCATTTACTTTCATAAAATTAACACTGCATGCCAAAGAAAGTAGTATCCTAAATTTGGGGCAATTGTGAAATAATATATTTTGAGTACTCTCTGAGATATCCTAAGTTCTTAACATTACATAAAAGGACGCTTGATAATACTTGATAATAAGCCTACATAAAAAGATACTTATTAATAAGCCTACATGTAATGCAAAAATTCAGAGTATTTTGATTCGAGTACATGAATATTTACTCATTTGACTGGAGATAGTTTTAGCTCACCTGAGCCAAAGGCTCAGTAAAGTGATTGCTTGAGCTTTTCTGATCAAAGTGTGTCTGGCGTCTGTATGCCATCTGTAAACTTTTCACATTTTTGACTTGCCACAAAGCATCCTATGGTAAAGAGTGTGTTTGTTCACAGGAAGTTTCACCCCCTATTTCAAGGGGAGATAATTATAAATTCATATGAATATTAATTTGTTAAAATTTTGTGGCATATTTAAAAAATCTTTGCAGGAACCATTGGGCCAGAAAAGAAGAAACAGGTGTGAAAGCTTCAATATAAACTGTAGATTCAGTTTTTTTCATATCATGGTCCCCAGAATAGGGTGGAGCCACAACAGGGGGTCAAAGTTTTACATAGGCATATACAGGAAAAATCTTTTTCTCAAGAACAGCTTAGCCATTTTCAGTCATTTTAATACTGAAGCATCTTTTGGTATAGATAGAATGTTCTATCATTAAAATGATATTGTCCTACGGACCTGGTTTTACGATAGAATTCATTCCGTGTATATTTGGCAATGTAGCACAATAAACATGGGCGATAACTCGAACTCTGTGCATTTTCTGTGAACAATCTAGAGAGTTCTAAATGTCAACATGGCGTGTTAATTTGAAGCGAGGAAAAAACGTTGAGAAAATGAGTTGAATTTTGGTATCTAAATGGATTGCTTTTTAGGTTAAAAGGCATTACAGTTTCAAAAAGATTTGTTATGATTAATTCGGTAGCAATTTTCAGTGCAACTCCTTTTGTATTCTTCAAAATCATTTCAGAGCAGATCTGCTCCAACTTGCTACATTGCAAGTATATGGGACGTATTCTAACTGTGGTGAGGGCTTGTCCTGAGACACAGTTGGATTATTCTAACTACTTTCGGTTGTGTAGATTCAAGATTGTTCATTTCATGCCCCCAAGGGTTAGGATGGTGCCACAACAGTGGATCAAAATTATACATATGAATATGTATGTAATATCTCTTGATTCGCAAAGCCATAATCAGTCATATTTTAAGGAAGCATCCTCAGGTAGTGTAGATATCATGATACCCTCAGGTAGGGTGGGGCCATAAAAAGTGATCAAAGTTTTACCTAAGAATATATAGTAAAAAGAATATGCTAATGAAGAACAGAAGGGTCATTGTTACTCAGGTGAGCGTTTTGTGGCCCTTGGGCCTCTTGTTTTTGTTTCCCTTCCATGTTGGTTTTTAATTCTTGCTTGATATTTAAGATTGATTTAATATCACACTCCCTTAGTATGCACATGTACCAGGTTAAACTAAAATTACACGTTTAAATAAGGCATTTTGACTCTCTTTGTTATACAGTTGATATAATGTGTTTCTTATTTTCTGTTTAAAATATATATTTTGAAAATTAATGAATTTTAATTCAATAGATTTTCTCGGAGATTAATATGGCTTGAGGCAGATATAACAAACAAAAGACCTGAGGTGATTGCTGAATATTATTTGAATGCTGTATATGATCTGGAAGGTAACCTGTTATCATTCTAGCTATATATAAACGTGAAAACTTACATGTATATACTTGTACTTATAAACCAAATTTTAAAGAAAAGTTTAGCTTTCATTCATAGTACTTTCACCCCATACAGGCTTTCATTAGATATTAAAATATAGACAAGTTTCATTGTGACTTCTTACTCGTGACATAATGTAGGCAACAAACATAATGCATATTATAGTGATTCAACTTTATAATATATTTCACAATTTTATTAGGGGCTGCTGAAAGAGAATCATTCACTTCATGTTATAAAATTTTAAATTAATACCTCGGTAGGCACTTGGGAAAAAATCTCAGCTGAATTGGAAATTTCCATTTCAGCGCCTTATTAAATTGTAAAACATCAGAGTTATGCAGGTAGTCAAAGTAACAGAGTAACATGTAACAAAACACTAATATTTTGTGTGTGAGTGTGAAGAAGAAAAATCTGTACAAGTTTCATTTTTGTGTTACAAGGTTGTCCTCAAAAACTAAGAGCAGATCCAGGCACTGAAAATGGGATTATTTCCACTTTCCATGCTTTTCTCCACAGAAATTCTAATGCAGTAACTCTGGGAAGCTCCACCTCAAATCAGGTGAGTTTGGGATTGGTTTAATGTATAAAGTACAGTCAATGTAAAGTATTTGTATTTGGTTGCTTAATTAATGATTTCACTAAAAGCTAATAGTTTAGTTTATTAGGAGTGCAAAACAATTTTACATTTTACAATCTTACATTTTACAGTCTCACATTTGGTAATTTATTGTAGAGAATTGAGAGATTTTGGGGTCTATTGAGACAAATGAAAGCAGACTTTTGGATACATCATTTCAAGGTATAAAACAAGTTACTGTAGTACATTTTGAGTTTTGACCCAAGGGTCTGCATTATTTTTAGATAATCAAATTTGTGAATTATAATCCATCTATAAATGTTAATTGTTTAACGCTTTGTTATATTTGTTTTTAAAGGGATTGATATATGAAGACTTGTTGAAGACAGGAGATCAGTTAAACATGTAAGATCAATTGTCTTAATTTCAATTAAAATCATCTTTACCTTTAACACAAGTGGAGTACTAGTAGTATTTATAAGAAATTAAATTTGGATGGATAGAAAACAACCATAAACTTTATTAACTTTATCGAGTTCTAGGATAAATGGGTTATTTGTTATATTTTTATATGTATGAAAGTATATCATATAAAAAAAATTTCAAAAAAAAAATTCCTAGTAAGACTTGAAAGCATTGTTTTAATATCACAGACTTATCAATATTAGCAAACTACTCACTAGAATTTGTGAAATAACACTCCATAATACCTGTAAAAAGGAATTTTTGTCTCATGGGAGGGGGGATGTTTTAAAAAATATTTTCCGTTTTTTGTTGATTTCCATAGTGAAAAACACAACTTTTACCAAAATTATAGGTTATCTCTTTTTGTTCTCCCAAATAGTTATGTTTTGTGAAAATTCACATAAATATCAATATAAATATAAGAAATGCATTCAAATAATACGTTAACTTTTGAAAAATTACTTAGAGGTAGGTGGCAGACCAATACTATCATTTACAGTTCTTATAATGATCCCACAGTAGTGTTTAAAAAACACTCCTCATTTAATGGGTGCATTTAATATGAAAATTATAAAGATTAAAATTTAGTCATTTACATGCAGTACTGTTAAGGCTATAAAGAAAGAAAGTTCGGCCTAATTTATATAAAGAATATTTAAAGTAACATTGTGCAGAAATGACAATTCCTGGAAACAAAAAGTGTAATAATTAGATTGTTTAAACTACAGTACTTAAGAGCTAGATAAATCAGACAAGATGTACCGGGGTAAACAGTTATATCTGGTTACTGCACTTATGACAATGTACTTGACAACAGATGTTTTATAAACCATTAAGTTTTAGTGTATAACCGTTGTTAAATGCCATTAATTATTATTGCCAAAGTATGTAGGATTTATTCTACTGCTTTGAGGAAAAAGTATTAAGGGATGGCATGAATAACAAGTGCCTAACCAATATGATAAATTAATCAATGCCTTTTGCAAAGACCTGCACTTTAAAAAATAGATATGTATAATGACTACAGAACATACAACAGTGTTACATAAATGCTACAGAACCGCAAGTGGCAATCACTAGCAGATGTTAAATGGAAAAAAAAATGTCCCATACTTCTATAACAAAAGTTATCAAACTCATTTTTAAAATGTATCATTTAAGCACATCATTATTTTGTTGATTTCTTCATAGTCCAGCTTAATAGTGCTGTAAAAGGTGAAGAGAACAAACAGTGATTTATCTAAAACAATCTTTAAACATAGAAAAATATGAAGAGGGCATAAAACATGGACCCCTGAAAATTCCATGGGTGGGAACAGGTGTCTAAGAGGAGTAAGCATCCCCTGTGCAGTGGCAATTTTATTTGCATTGTTTCAGAAACATTGATATCATTATGTGCAATATCTGTACTTTTTTAGATTATGCATACAGTATGTTTACCTACCCATCTTAAAGAAAGATATCAAAGAGCTCATGGATTTGTGGAATAACCACTCAATTCGGAAACAAAAATTGGGAGATACTATTCCAGGAATCCCAGTAGTGCTGTATCAGAATCCAGAAATAGTTGGTAATAATATTACATTATATTTTGTTTCAAAAATTGATTCAGTAGAAATCATAAAGATAGTACTTCCTTCTCATAAAGTTAAAATGCAATATAACTTAATTGGGACATACTTAAGTGGGAAAAAGTAAACTAAAAAACAACATTTTGATAGGTATGTACAATTGAGTGATCAGCAGTGAATCATTATGATCATGTTGGGAGTTTTTACTCAGATTTAAGAAAAGTTATTCCCCTTTATCATTCCCCTATCTTGATTAAGGCCAAGTTTTTTCTATGTTTAGAGTCCGTGTGCGCCTTGGTTTTGGCACCCCATTTCAGGGAAAAAAAACAAACAAAATCAGGAGTCCTAAAATGGAATATTTTGATCCAAACCTCGGAAATTTGTCAAGTTCTTTAAACATTTCTCCCTAGTATGTCATATTATGTATATTTTAAGCATTTGATACCTTGATTTTACAAAACAAAAGATATTTCTATGAGAAAAATAGATTCATGAAATCAAATCCTTTGAATGATGTCATTTTTATTACTGTAAAGTCTGTGTTTTGTTTTTTTGGCTTGTGTGTTTTTTGCGAATAGGTAGGTAGGTTTTTCAAAGATGGGTGGATGCTAAACAGAGAAAAAAATTGGAATGGCCTAATGTAATTGATAGATAAATCAAATAAGAGAATTATGCTTGAATGTTACTGATTATAACCAAACAAACAATTTTGTTCATCCCTGTGTATCATTTTCTTCTAGTTTTTGAGTAACATTATCTATCACTTTATTTTGTTTTATTATGAAAGAAAATTGGCCATTCATTGCATCTTGTTCATTTTTTTTTTTAATCATATTTAGGTGACCCTTATAACAACAGACATTTACACTCATTTTTATTCTTTTTAGGTTCATCTCAATATGTGCATGTGATTGATAAAGATATTGTCCCTCACTTGCAGAGACTTGTTACAAATAATTATAAGCAGATTGACAAACATTTTGTTGATGTTGCCTCTTCCATCCTGGATTTTTATGAACTGCCACATCCTGAGAGCTTAACTGACTGGATTAGTGCTCGTGATTTTTACATATTTCTAAGCAACTGTATATCACAAATAGTAAATTAAATTGCTTTATTTTTTTAATGATATGGCTATACTACTGTATATATTTATCCAAATGGTGTTTAGGGTATCATTAGAATTATCCTTAGCTGCTGTTTTTCCTTGATCATTTTCTTGCTCGTCTGAACTAAGATTTTTTTTCTTACCACCTGTTGTCCATCTATTTATCATTTATATGCACAAGATTTCAACAATTATCCCCGCTTCTAAGGAGAACAATATTTACATAGGAAAAAAATTGGAACAAACAAGGTATGATGATTTATATAAATATGAATGCACCATTGACATCAAGGAATAGGTTGAGGCCATAATATGATGTCAAAATTAATAAAATATTGAGGATATCTTTTTTCTTGTTGGAGAACAGCTGGTTGTGATTAGGTGATGCCCTGGGTATTGTAGTGTATGGGCCACTTTTATTCCTATCAAAGATCCCCCAGTGCATGTCGGGATCATTGAAGTTTTCAGTTAACCTGAACTAAAGGATAAAATGTTAGATGTGCTTATATATACATGTACAAGGGAATTTTGATCCTTATTATTTTGTTTACTTCTAAAATACGTCAAGAAGTGTAGTAGTGGTAAAATCCATTCCCTACAATCCAATTTTTACAATACCAATTAACTCTTTGCCCCTTGCGCTGTCTGTGACGTAATAGTCGCATTACATTTGTTACTATTTGATGACGTTATCCTTTTCCCCGCAGCGCACTTGCAATTACATGCTGAAAAGACGTGGTTTTGAAGATGAATATTTGCACGGTGTATGTAGCATAGGTTGCCGTATATATCCCCATAATATTTATTAATGCAACCATCCTAAGTTGAATTCAAATATTTTTGATGGTGATTTAATCTTGTTTATTTTGTTTAATTAATTCTTTTATGTTGACTGTTACAAACTTGCTATATTATCATAGCTTGTACTTTATTATAAAATTTAAATCTAAAACATTGTTCAAAATATTTGTTTGATATTCCAGACAGGATTTCATTTTTATGCTCATATTAGAGAGAGACAACGACACTCGTCACGCCCCCCCCCCCCCCCCTTTTTTTTATTTCTTCGGTCACATGCATAACCATTTTATCGAAACTTGAAGAATCGTCTAATTATAAATAAAAATAGAAGTGAGATCTAGAAGAGAAGGAACATCACTCGTAAAGATTTTTAAAACAGTTATTTTACAGATTTTTTAGCACAAAAAAGAAGTTGTAGCTTTCAGCGTATATGTTTTAATTTATATGAATTTTTTTTTACAAAAAATATTGTTGGAATATTTCTCAATTTTCTACTGAACAATAGCAAATTGTCGAAGGGAGACATTTCATTTTAATTGATCACATCTGCTTATTAATATTTTGGCCGATATACGGATAAAATACTGCCGACTCGGCTATTTTTTTTTTTTTTTTTTTTTTTTGCTAAAGGCGAATTTATATAAAACACATCGAATTGCAGTATTTCTTCTCTTCGGAATTGATTTAAAACACTTTTTTAAAAACAATTAATATTTACAAGAGAGTCTAAGAACTTGCATGTTGGACGTAGGGGTCAGTACTCGATATTTTTCCCGGTGTCCGAAGTATTTCGATTATTTGTGGAGCAGTACTCTTTAAGGGGTTTTTATGGAAATGCATTAATTGTAGCTGTATTTAATGAGAAATATAGAGAGTATTTCCACAATTTTTCCGATTTATCAGATTTTATGACATAGTCAATTTTATGAACATGCGGCATGGATGTAGGTGAAAGCCTGTCCTCTTCGATAAAGAGGATAGCGTATTTATATCAAATTTAATCAAACTTTAAACAGAAAATAAAGTCAAATTAAGACACATGGTATACAATAAAATTAATCAATTACCCAGGATCTATCAGGAATTGGTGCGTAGTGGATACACAGGTTATTCAATATCAGTCTGCTTTCGTGATTGTGTCGTTATCCCTATGATCATCATTTTATTAAAATGTACAAGCAGAAAAAAATCTTTAATTGGTTGTGTTTGTAAAAGGTATACAATTCTGACCGAAAAAAAGTTCATGTAGATCAGAAAGGAGAATAAACAGATTGTCTCAATAATTTGACTGCATTTTATTTCCGTAATTTAAAAAAAAATACTTTTCATTTCCGACATTTTTTAGTTTACTGACATTTTTTAGTTTTATTTTCCGACCTTTATGAAAGAGTACATTTCAGGTAATAGAACTGGGTCTGAAGACTTTCCTTATCGAAAATCTAAATATTTAAACAATAAATCATTGACATCAAAATAGGGTAAAAGCTTTGCTTTGTCTTTAAAAATACCAGCGTGAGATCAGTGTCATATGTCTCGGACATAAATTAGATGCAATCACTGACATAATATAATTCAAGTGTAGTTGACTTTTTAGACCGATCGATTATTCATAAACTTGGTAGACATAAGATGCATATTAAGCCCCCCCCCCCCCTTAAAAAAAATCCGGAAACGTAAAAAAAAAAACGCCAGAAATGCTGAGCATAATTTCGGAGAAGAAATGTAGTGAATAATTTCTAATCAATCCTTATATTTAACAAGATGCTAATGGAAGAAAAAAATGCTAAACATAATTTCGGAGATGAAATGTAGGAAATAATTTATATAGCTGTTGATCGAAGATGTGTAACCCCCTCCCCCATTTCGGAGTTTTAAGCATATAAATGCATTGCTCTTCATTCATGTATCTAAGGGTAGCGCAGATCGAGGTAGCAAATAAGTCACGAGTTAACTGTCCATCCACAAGACGGATGTCAAATGTCCTTTCTGTGTATAACATAAACATATAGCTTGTAGAAGAATCACACTGGACCACATCGTCGTCCTCCTCTGGAAAGTTTACTTCGCCTAGAGTTTTTCTTAAACTTATTATTTCTAGTGTATGCAGTGTAGACATACACATGTGCGGATCGGGGGGGGGGGGGGGGGTAGGGGGTCCGGACCCCCCTGGAATTTGCAGAGTTATTAAAAGTATAGAATTATAGAATATTTATTCAACCAATTTGGGCCCACAATGGAGCATAGAGATGAACAATGTCCGAAATCACAGTCATAAATAACAATAAACAAAACAAAACAAACAATTGTTTATTGAACAGAGAGTTAGCTGTCAACTTTTCGGATGCATAAAATGTATACAAATAGTATAATTATGTATAATGACTGTAATATGCCTATATTGTACTATGTTGTTTTCTCATATTAAAATTTTCATTTTAATGTTGGCCTAATAAAACAACAAACTTAGAATCTTCATTTGACATAATCCATGTAAACAGGTCCACATTATTAAGCAGTATTAAATTTGGAAAAGTTTTAAAGATTTTGTTTAAAAACTCTTCTCTAGAATCATTATACAATGAACATTCTAGCAAAAAATGTATTTCATCCTCAGTTAGACTTGAAGTACAGTAACGACAGACTCTTTCACTCCTGGGAAGAATTTCATTTTTACCACATTAATTTATTAAGTTCCTTTCATATCTACCCATATATACTGACGCAAATAAAAAATGACTTTGGACCCTCCTAGAAAATGTGGTTACCCCACCATCAGCACATGAGCATTTTTCTTTCTTTTTCAACATGATATTGTTGACAGTTCCTTTTTTCCCTTTATTTTTGTATATGTGTATTCTATTTGATTGCTGTGTAAGGCGGAAAAAATCAGGTTGTATTTTTACGAATTTGAATTTAATTCGAACAAGAAATAAGATTACATGTAAATCAGAACAAGGCTTTATTCTATGAACAAAACCTCTTTTTTCTTCAGCCGTACGAGTATGAATTAACTTCTGTCGTAATTTTATCTGTTCCTTCTGTCAATTTCGAATTTTGCACACGCATTTTATCAAACAGTTACATAAAAAACTTTTCCATTTGTCGAATTTGATAAATTCTGGATCAAGGGTCCCATCTCACACAGGATTGGGAGACTTCTACATCACCAACCCAGTGGTCCAAGTGGTGATCGAGCTTATTTAGCGTCAATAGAAAGTCTTTCTTTTCTCGCACCCGAAGTTTCGTCAAATAAATCGACGATTCGGACATATTAAAATGAGGAAAAATATTCTTATTTGTGAAATATTTTAGAATAGAATTACAAAAATTTATCATATTATCATTCAGTATCATATCATCAAAACTTTACGCGTTAACAGAGCAGAAAACGTCAAAAACGTGGAAATGTGCGTTAAAGTGCGTGATTGCGGGGTAAAGGTATATGCGTTAAAATGCGTGATTGCGGGGCAACGGTATATGCGTTAAAATGCGTGACTGCGGGGAAGGGGGTTAAGGGACATAACTCTGTAGTAATCCTCTGTAGTTGTTGATTTCTAATTTACTTGTAGTTTCATCCACTATAAAAGGTCATGCCGCACATAAAATGTATACCGGGTAAAATTAAATTGCAATTGTTTACATTTTTACAGTACTTTAAGTTTGTGTGCATTTTTTTAGTGTGTGTTTTATTTAATTAAACTAATTGTAAAGTAATCTGCTTTAATGTTGTAACTTCGGCATAGAGTAATTCTGTGTGTCTAATATCTCAAGTGCCTTAGGTTTGTTGAATACAAGATTGAATTTTCCAAGTACATGTAATACAAGTGTCTCCTGCTTTAGCATCATTAAAATACTGAAATAAATCTTAAGGATGATTTTTTTTTCATTTGAATACTCGCAATATATAATTCAAAAAAAGAAAACAAACAATAACAACCACAGCTAGGAAGACTGCTGTAGAGTAAATAATCTATTTATCATAACATGACAAATAGATGAGCGATTCCTTACTCTCAAAGCTAAAGTGAATAACAAAATTGAAATTACAGACATAAAAAGTTGTCATCCTTTATAATTTGTCTTGAATTCTGAGCAAATCAGTATATACCAATTCAGCTTAATTTTCGTACAACAAACGGAATGATTTTCAGTTTGTGTAGTAATAATGTTTGAAGAAAGTAAAGTATCCTGAGGTCATAAACATATAATTGATTCAGAAGTTTTCAAAGCATATGATTTTTCGAAATCTGAAACAATGGAAAAATAAAAGATAAAAGTATTATTGAAAGATAGATTTAAGAACAAGATGGTGATGGTTGATTAACTTTTCCAAATGTTTCATGGCAATCTGTATACATGCTAATTATAACCCAAACTTGCTTCTTTCAGGTAAATATACACAGTGAAACTTCCCTTTCTGAACAGCACTGATTTAATGGAACTAGTGGCTGGATTAAAAAGCATTAGGAATTGAACATAATTTACTGAAAGGAAATGAATTTTACCTCATATTAGGCAGGTAGGATTTCAGAATAATGTCCTGTTTAGACAATTTTTACAAGAACTGTATTCTAAAAAGTAGGTCACAGGTCATAAGGTCGTTAATCCAGGTCATTTACACAAGCATGTTTCAAGCAATAAAATGTACAGGTATTGGGTAAAAAAATGAAATTGCTCCCTCTATCAGTATCCAAGATTAAAAGTATAACAGACGGATATATCGTATGCAGAGTAATCCCTAAGTGTCATTCTGAAGGCAACATAAACACCTCTAGTACATATTGCCCATTACTAAAGAGAAAGAATAAATAGGTACAAGATTTCCAAATGTAACTTTTTAAACAGAATAGTGGAAAATATGTAATATATAACATTCAACCTTTAACCACATAAGATCAGTTTTTAAAAAAAAAAATTCCTTTTTCAGAAAACCTTGATGGCTGCACTGGGTAATAAGCTGATTGAATCTTTTAAGGACCAGCTTCACTGTGATGTAAATATCAAACTTAGAGATGGGGCAATTCATGCCCATAGAATAGTGTTGGTTTTGGGTTCAGATTGGTTTAAGGCACGACTCAGTGAGAATTGGGAGTCAGCATCCGATGTCATCACTTGTGATATACACTCTACAGATGTGACAAAATCCATGATAGAATTTTTGTACACTTCTCATATTGATACTTCGATTGAAAATATAGAGGAAATTTACCAAGTTGCAGATTATTATGGTGTGGAAGACTTGATTCAGAAGTGTATAAACTTCATGCAGGAAAGCATATCCATCAAGAATTCACTGAAGATTCTTTTGATAGCACACAACAACCAAATTGCTACCACAAAGACACAATGCCTTCAGTTTGTAGACATCCACATGGAAGATCTTTTTGGCTCAGCTGCAGAGGATTTTTTCGAATTGCCCCTTGGTCTATTGATTGACATTATCAGAAGAGAGAGTCTCTGTGTCCATGAAGAACTTCTTTTCCAGAACATCAACCTGTGGATAAGCATGGTTGGAGAGGAAGAGAGAAAGGTCACTTTATGGAAGGAAGTGATTCCGCATGTTAGGTTTGGAAGGATGTCGATGGATTTTTTCCTTGACCACATAGTGACAAAGTGTATACTTGAAGATGGTTTTTCTCTTCTCGTTATGCGTCAGCTATCCACATTAGATGACACACTCCCTCTTCAATACACTAAAAAGAGACATAGTATAACATGCAATGACATTGTTGTCAACCGCTTTAGGAATATCAGTAATGAGAGCACATGGTTAGTTGACAACACTCTAGATGGTGACAGAATTTCCTTCTGTATTAACCTTGACAACATAAAACTGAAGGGTCTTCTTGTGTATGGTAGAGCAGGGGCATGTGGCCTCTTTTCTGTTTTGCTATACACCGAAAACAGTCAAACACTTCTGCGTAAAACACAGGTAAAAGAACAATGCTCTGATGAACTCAGTATTCCCATTCTGTTCCCCACACCAGTGCTCCTGTTAAGAGACACGGTGTACACTGCAGTGTTGAGAGTCAATGGTGGCCCAACAAGGTATGGAGTTGGAGGCCTGCATAGTACTTCATTTGCCTTGGAAGAAAACACCACTCTTATGGTGAAGTTTTCAACAGCGGGTAGTGGAAACACCAATGTTAACACTGGACAAATCAAGGGGCTCATTTTCAGGGAAGTGTAAATACTTTCACCTGTATTAAGGTAGAACAAAACACCACACTCAGCATTTTCTTTACATTCTTGTTGTCCAAGTTTGTGTACATTTTCGGACTTTTTCATAAAAGAGCGCATTATGAACTATAACTCTAAACTGTGTTTAGAAGAACACATTTCTTCTAAAACAGACCAGAAAAAATATATTAAAAACACTCCAATATTTACTATTAATTATCTTTGTCAGAAATATGGTAAACTAGCTATGACATGTACTTATCTATTGTGTAAAAAAAAAAAAAAAAGAACAAAAAATGAATGCATATACTTATCAGGGCCCTATTATAGGTCCCTGATTTAATGGAACATTTCAGATTCTACATTTAATTAGCATATATTTTTTGTCATTTACATGCATCATTATCTGTTATTTAAAAAGTGTAACTTTTGATTTCAAACATTAAAATCTTGAATTTGATTTTTAATTTTCTTAGTCATTGAAATTATTTTGGTCTCAAAAATGTATATAACCAGGCCCCAAGACCATAAACTGAGAATAGACTTAAGTCAAAATTTTGAATTTTAACATCTTGAGTTTTATCTAATCTATTTGCTTAAAATTCCGCAATTTTATACAACATTTAAATTCAAATACATGATGAAAATTTTGTTTCATTATCAAAATTATTTCAAAATTTAAGTTATTAGGTTTGAAGTTTTGACCAAGTCTATTCTCAGTTTATTGTCTTGGGGCCAGTAGTTAAGTCTTATCATTCTGTTCACTTCTTTTCAAATTTGAATATAGTTTCAGAAATGAATATGAGGAAAAATTTTGCTACCTGTTTTGTACTACCTTAATAGGATACTCCATGCGATTAAGAACAAGGTTGTAGTAATTTGCAAAGCAATTTTTACAGGTTGTTTTAAATAAACATATACAATGTATCTTTCACTAAAAATGTTGCCTTTATTCAGGCTTTCTTCATTAACATCTATATTTTAATTCAATGCAATTAGATATCTGCATTTGGAAAATTGGTTTACTATTAAAAAGTTTAAATATATAAGTGATACCAACATTTGATCTTCTATCGAGGCCTTGCCCTACCCCAAGGACATGATTTGAATCTTCACCACATGAGAATGCTTCAGAATTAATGACTAATCCATAATAAAATTTTTATCGATATCCCTTATATTCCTTTGTTTAACTTTGATCCCCTGTTGCGGCCCCACCCTATGTGCAGATGTTATGATTTGAACAAACATGAGTCTACACAACCTAATGATGCTTCCATAAAAATATGACCAATCATGCCTTTGCTTTTCTTGAGAAGGAAATTTTCAAATAATTTTCCTGTGTATACCTATGATATACTTTTATTGTACATTGAAGTCCCACCCAACTCCATGGGTCATATTTTGAACAAACTTGATTCTACACTGCCTGAGGATGCTTCCATATAAATATGACCAATCATGACTTTGCAGTTCTTGCAATTTTTTCCAATATATTCCTAGTATGTAAAACTTTGATCCACCATTGTGGGCCCACCCTTACTCCTGGCCTCATGACTTGAGGAAAGTTAAATCTTCACTATGTAAAGAAGATTCAAAATAAATTTCAATTTTTTTGGTCCATTGGTTCTTGAGAGGAAGATTTTTGAAAGACATCACCAGATTTTTACTATTTCTTAATTATCTCCTATTGAAAGAGGGCGTAGCACTTCATTTGATCAAACTTGAATCCCCTACACCCAAGGACGCTTTGTTACATGTTTGGATGAAATTGGCCCTTTGTTACTGGAGAAGAAGTCGAAAATGTGAAAAGTTTACAGATGGACGGCAGACAAAATGCGATCAGAAAAAGCTCAGGTAAGGTAAAATCTAAACAAAACTTCATAAAATTAACACATTTATTCATTTAAATCAAAATATAAAACAAAACAACTGAGGACTTCTTTCATGTAAGGAAAACTATTACATATAAATACCAGTAAGAAGAGACGTAAAAACAATTAAAGGAGAAGAAATTGTGATAACCCATTGTGACAAATAACAAGAGGCCCATGGGCCACATCGCTCACCTGAGTAACTTTGGCCACGCTGTTCTTTACCAGATTTCCCCCCTTCTAATACTTATTGTGGCCCCGCCCTACCCCTTGGGGTCATGATTTTAACAATTAAAAATCTACACTATCCCAGGATGCTTCCACATAATTTTCAGTTTTTCTGGCCCAGTTGTTCTTGAGAAGAAGATTTTTCTTACATATTTCAATGTAAAATTGGATTCCCTATTGTGGCCCCGCCCTACCCCCAGGGGTCATGATTTTTACAATTTAGTATCTACACTACCCCAGGATGCTTCCACATAAGTTTCAGTTTTTCTGGCCCAGTTGTGCTTGAGAAGATTTTTCAAGATTTTTCTTACATATTTCAATGTAAAACTTGGATTCCCTATTGTGGCCCCGCCCTACCCCCGGGGGTCATGATTTTTACAATTAAGCATCTACCCAAGGATACTTCCACATAAGTTTCAGCTTTTCTGGCCTAGTGGTTCTTGAAAAGAAGATTTTTAAAGATTTTTCCTATATATTTCAATGTAAAACATGGATTCCCTATTGTGGCCCCTCCCTACCCCCAGGGGTCATGATTTTAACAATTTAAAATCTACACTACCAAAGGATGCTTCCACATAAGTTTCAGCTTTTTTGGCCCAGTGGTTCTTGAGAAGAAGATTTTTAAAGATTTTTCCTATATATTTCAATGTAAAACATGGATTCCCTATTGTGGCCCCGCCCTACCCCCGGGGGTCATGATTTTAACAATTTAAAATCTACACTATCCCAGGATGCTTCCACATAAGTTTCAGCTTTTTTGGCCCAGTGGTTCTTGAGAAGAAGACTTTTAAAGATTTTTCCTATATATTTCTATGTAAAACATTGATTCCACAATGTGGCCCCGCCCTACCCCCGGGGGTCATGATTTGAACAATTTAGAATCTACACTACCCCAGGATGCTTCCATATAAGTTTCAGCATTAGTGGCCCTGTGGTTCTTGAGAAGAAGATTTTTTAATGACCCCACCCTATTTTTGTTTTCTCTTGATTATCTCCCCTTATGAGGGGACTTGGCCCTTCATTTTAACAATTTAAATTCCCCTTCACCCAAGGATGCTTTGTACCAAGTTTGGTCAAAATTGGCCCAGTGGTTCTTGAGAAGAAGTCAAAAATGTGAAAAGTTTACAGACGGACAGACAGACAGACAGACAGACGGCCAGACAGACGGACGGACGGACGACGGACAAAATGTGATCAGAAAAGCTCACTTGAGCCTTCGGCTCAGGTGAGCTAAAAAAGAAATAAGAGAAACTGATCTGTGGCTAACATTCAAATTACCTTAAAATGATTTCCTTTTAAATTTTCTTTAAGCAATTCTTTTAATGTACATGATAATATTCATTTCAATGTACATAATACATGTATCATAAAAGTTATGGAAACAATATGTATTTAATGATGAACAACACACTACATGTGTAGAGATAATTAGAGCTAGTGTAGATATACACGTTTTGGTGGTGAAGGTCCTGTCCCTTACATGAGCACATTTCCAAAATTGGTCATTGTATCATCCATTAAGAAGTTCTGAAACATAACATGTACCATTATGTGTATTAATATTATTGTTAAACTAGAAAAACAACATACATATGTAATAGGTACTTTTTAATAAAACATTTAAACATTAATTTAAGCTTTTAAAAATTTCAGTGTTACTTTAAATCTAGCATTCTGATGTGTTACATTTGACCTTATTTATAGTATTCTACTGTACATGTACAGTTATACATGTAATTTAAGAAAAGGAAGGTCTTAAAGTGTCTTGAAAATTATTATAACTTGCATTGAATTTTCAATGAAAAAGTATGACTGCAAGTGTTTACCTGATAATTTATACAGTCAGTAAGAAGTACCAGTAAGGCCATAAAAAATTAATTAATAGTTTCTCAGGCCAAAATTTTCAAAATTCAATGCAGCAGACAGGTTCTTTTCTTTTTTTTCTTTTTTAAAGCAGGTGTTATACCTTTAAAAAAATGATATCAACTGATTCTTACTTTTATTGTTCTCTCATTAATTATAGCTTTAAATAATATTATTCCAAACAAAGTTAATTCGTAAAATACTGTATTAACAAGAAATGTATTGGTTTATCTAATAAAAGCGTCTATCTATTAGCATTTATGAAAAGGGGAGTAACTCAGTTTTCTTTCACAACTTGGAAAAATTATGTCAGAGTATATTACTCATACCTTTTCAATATGTCAATAAATTTTATCAATGCGGCAGTGTTTGACCTGATGCAGCGGTGCCTGAGAAACTATTGATTAATTTTTTTTTTGTTCTATAAATGTTGCAAATTTCCTCCAAAATGATAAAAACCATTATTATACTTGCCCCTTCTTTAAGAATTAATACATCTGGCAGTGAAGAAATAAACTCATGGTGGCTGGCTTCCAGCTCATAACAATGTTTGCAACCTTCAACCAGACATTTCAGTGGATTCACACACTCCAGGTGGAAGACAGGTGGCAGGATTTCTGCCTCTACTTCCCTGCATATATATGTGAAAATACTCTGAAAGTATCCAAAAAAGTAATTCGTAACTCAGTGGAAACATCAAAATATTGACTGCTGAGAAACCCATTTGAAAATCTTCATCTTTACCACAATGTCAAATATCCAAAAAAAGTTTGCCCAACAAGTCACAGTTTAGGTTTGCCCAACAAGTCAATTTAGGAGGCACTTTGCTTACAGCTCTTCACTTTGCACAGAAATAAAGGAAATTATTTTGTTTTGAATTTCATGACCTTGGTAGTAGGTCTCCTTGTTTCCTTTATGCATTTTTTTCTTATGAATTAATGTGCAAAGAGATAACAGTTTTTAGACATTGAATTCATCTGTCAATTTGGGACCTTACAAAGGTCCCTGGAGTGAAAAGGATTATGAAAATCTAAATGAGGTTTTCAAAATTTCTTTCTAATTTTCTCCTAAATTTGTAACAATGGTCATGCTGCTCTACATTCGCAACTTTTCCCCTATCCATTCCGGTGTAAAACTTTCATCCTTT